ATATATATATACTAATAAACACTTAGTGGTGAGTGCCTGCCCTGTTTAAGACACTTAGTGGTGTGCCTGCTCTGTTAAAGACAGTGGTGAGTGCCTGCCCTGTTTTAGACACTTAGTGGTGTGCCTGCTCTGTTTAAGACAGTGGTGAATGCCTGCCCTGTTTTAGACACTTAGTGGTGTGTATCAGCATCTGTTTAGAACAGTTAGTGGTGAGTACCTGCCCTGTTTATGACACTTAGTGGTGAGTACCTGCCCTGTTTATGACACTTATTGGTGAGTACCTGCCCTGTTTATGACACTTGGTGGTGAGTACTGGCCCTGTTTAAGACAGTGGTGTGTACCGTCATCTGTTTAAGAGTTAGTGGTGTGTAACTGCCTGTTTAAGACACTTTGTGGTGTGTACCGGGATCTGTTTAATACACTTAGTGGTGCGTACCGTCATCTGTTTAAGACAGTTAGTGGTGTGTACCTGCCCTGTTTAAGACAGTGGTGTGTACCTGCCCTGTTTAAGACAGTTAGTGGTGTGTACAGTCATATGTTTAAGACAGTTAATGGTGTGTACCTGCCCTGTTTGAAACACTTAGTCCCTGCCATTGTGTACTGGCATCTGTTTAAGACACTTAGTGGTGAGTACCTGCACCTGTTTAAGAAACTTAGTTATGAGTACAAGCACCCTTTTTTCCTATAAACAAAGCTCTGGGTAGCACCATGGCTAACCTGGGCGTCACTGATTTGAATCCACCCTAAGGGAGAATGTATTTTTTAAAGTGACCAGGTCTGCCCAGTCTACAGTTGATACGATAAAATCTTTTGGGAAGTAAAGGGACCTGCTACTGACCTCACCAGGTAGAGAGTTAACCTGGGGGCCAGGCACCTTGTCCACACAGAACAGTTTTGGGTTTGTGGGGAGCGGGTATACTCACACCAATCCCCCCCCCCCCATTTATAAAGGTGCACAATTCCCCCCCCCCATTTATAAAGGTGCACAATCCCCCCCCCCATTTATAAAGGTGCACAATCCCCCCCCCCCCCCCCCATTTATAAAGGTGCATAACCCTCCCCCCCCCCATTTATAAAGGTGCACATCCCCCCCCCATTTATAAAGGTGCACAATCCCCCTCCCACGGCAATGTAAAGAAGTCCAGTTTTCAAGTATGTGTTGACACATATGCTATTTAGGATATTTAATTTATTTCTTTGCCATTCAACACATTATTTATTATTATGATGATGATTATTATTAAAATTAAAATAGGAAAATGAATAAGATGGGAAACCTGGCCTCAACAGAAAAACTAAGCTAAACTTGATATGCATTTTTTAGTTGATATTTTTCTGTTATCCTTTCAGGCAACCCAGGCTACCAAGCTCATCATCCACCTCCAAGTTTGTGTAAACGGATTTGGCTGAATTCAAAATGGATTACTGTATAGAGACCATTTAGCTTCCACATCATCAAGTCTTTGAAGTCATGACAACTTTCAGTGCACAATTTTTTATTGTATTTATATTTAGAGCACCTGCAAGGGAAGAAAATAGAATTTGTATGTCTTCTCTGCTTCCTAAAATGTGATTATTTAAATAAAATACAAATAAATTTATATCAGAAGAGTTTGTAAAATACTTATCTAAAGTCTTTCTTTGTTCCAAGTTGTCATGTGTCTGGAGGGTATAGTAGTAAAGAAGACATTTACAAAGTAAGTTAAAATACTGGCGTTTACCATTAAGAAAGCAATGACAACCTACTGAATGTAAATTTACCTAATTAACTATGGAGTATGTGCTTTACACAACGCTCTTGGCAGGTGGCTAGTCATTCTTGGGATCTTCACAGAAACTATGGAGTATGTGCTTTACACAACGCTCTTGGCAGGTGGCTAGTCATTCCTGGAATCATCACAGAAACTATGGAGTATGTGCTTTACACAACGCTCTCGGCAGGGGGCTAGTCGTTCCTGGGATCTTCACAGAAACTATGGAGTATGTGCTTTACACAACGCTCTCAGCAGGTGGCTAGTCATTCCTGGGATCATCACAGAAATTATGGAGTAATGGAGCCATTGCACAAATTAAGTAAGGCAAAGAACTGGAGCAGCAGGCACTGCGTTCCTCATAGATACGCGCTAGGCAGGTTCTGATCCGTGATGCTAACTAGTTGTCCCCTTGTGGGAATCAATTTTTCGTTATTTTGAAGTACCACCCTGGCTCTTGCCAGGGGCCGCAATATAGCCCAGCCATAAATATGGTAAAATGCTGAACGCGGTTTCTGAGACCTCTCCATGGGTGATCCTTATCCACATGGTGACACTTTGTGTCACTCGGTGTTTATCGCTTGTGTGATGTCCTAGTAAGGTAAAAAGTACTACTACTACTACTACTACTACTACTACTACTACTACTACTACTACTACTACTACTACTACTACTACTACTACTACTACTACTACTAGCCAGGAGGAAATGCCTCCTGAACTTATTATAAGTGGGAACTGCTGTTCAAGTCAAATAATTGGTTCGTAACTGCTCACACGTTAACACAATAGCTGACCATCTGGTAAGTCATGTGTGAATGCAAACTGGTAGAAGCATGGGCAACGCTGATATCAAAGATATAGGAATAGGTTGAATCTCCGACGCTTACACGATTGCGTGACTGGGGAGTTAAGCATGACGAAGCGCGTCTATGCCGTCTTCGATGTAAAGACAGGAGATACTATAACCGCTTCTCGTAGAAATAATCAGTAGAAATACCTTGGAGTGTCTACTGCATCGGAGGACTAAGCACGTATGGGAATGCCCACTGTGCAAAGACGTTGATTGTGATAATATAATATACTGATAATATATAAAATGTTTTGATAATATAACATAATATTTCAACACACATGCAGTAAAAACCAAGAGGTGTGTCCAGAAGACAGGTACTGCAATATGAGTGTGAATTATGAATCAGCGGTTGGTTGTTTTAATTAATATAAACTGGTACGGACAGTTGACAGGGGAAGTTGACCGTGTTCTTAGTGCACTTGTATCAGTGGCGAGGCGCAGACGCCGTCTGGAGGTGACTTCAATTCCCGTCACGGTAACTATAGCTTTCGATTTTTATGTTGTCTAGTGTGTTCTTCTATCTTTCTACTTTTGTTCTATGAGTGTCGATCAATACACTGTTA